TATGATTTTTGCATAAACCACCTTGGCGATCATGTAAATTATAGGCAGAGCTGTCGGGTGCAGCCACGCGTCGAACTGAACAATAATGACTTCAGATGGCTGTGCATTGTCGAAATACTTGAGTTAATTCTATCTTCACTCTTAAGTATCACATTATAGGCTATTTCCAAAGTCTCAAACCTGAGAAGAAAGAGAAGCAGACTAACTCCGGCTGTGCCACCATTGCTCTCTCTTCCCTCCTTTGCCACGTAACCAAAGGCTGTGAAACTGTTATCTTATTAGAATGAAACTTATTTTATTGGCAAGAGCAACATAATACCAAGAAACAGAGTCCACATTTTTCTGTAGGTGAATGCAATTCGTCGCCGTGCTTTACGCACACATAACCACGCGTAAAAGTCAAAGAAACTACTTTTACGCACGCTCCTCTGTCAGTTTAAGTCGTCTGATTTTAAGACAAAATATAAATTTATAGAAACACAATGCTTTCACAATCCTAGAAGTTGAAAAGAAAACTAAAATCTTGATAAAGAAATGCAAATGTTTATTAACGAATCACACCAGGCTTCGTTTTTGGAGATCTACACAGAGCAAAAAGCCAGTTTTAGTTCAGAAATCCTACTTGAAAACTTCGACGAAAATAGTTTAATCCTTGACCATTTAATGAGATACAGATCACATACAACTTGTATTCATTTTTGTGCTACACTGACAAGAGCAAAGCCTCACACAAGATTTGTCGCTGCTGTCCAAGAAAACACACTGACCGATGAGGTCATCACTCTCACAGCAGCTGATTGGTGGAGGGGAAGTCGGGCATTTTTTTGGCATTTCCTCATGTTAGAAAACGTTTTCTTTGGTGATCAACTAGAAGGCTCTTCATCGACATTACAGGACGCTTAAGGCTTGGATACATGATCCTCACGATGTCCCACTCCATCAGATTGTTGCTCGGGAGAGGGTATGTTCCCGTGCTTTTCTTTCTTTCTGCGATCTTTAACACGGTTTTTACTGTCACTCATTACTCTATCCCCGAAGAAATGGAGGAAGGCTCTGTCGTTGCCAATTTAGCAACGGATTTGGGACTAGACGTGAGAACGCTGAAAAAAAGACAAATGCGCATCGATGTTGTTGGTAATAAGAAATATCTCGATATCAACAAAGACACAGGGGAGCTGTTCATTTTGGAAAGGCTGGATAGAGAATTTTTGTGCCCCTTAAAAACAACTACATCATGCTTTTTGAGATTGGACGCCACGATTGAAAATCCTATTCGGATGTTTAATATAGAAGTGGAAATCACGGACATTAACGACAACGCTCCTCATTTTCGACGAGGGACAATGCATTTGGACATTTCTGAATCCAGCCCTGTTGGGGAGAGATTCTCTTTGAATAACGCTGCAGACCCGGATGTTGGATCAAATTCTGTGAAAAACTACCACCTGAGCTCAAGCGAACACTTCTCTATTGAGATTCAGACAGGGAGAGACGGAACGAAGTTCGCTGATTTAGTTCTGAAAAAAGCTTTAGACAGAGAGCAGCAGGCTGTTCATAATCTCATACTGACTGCTGTGGACGGTGGAGTCCCCACTCGCACAGGTACAGCCAGCATTATTGTTCGCGTGCTTGATGTGAACGACAACGCCCCTTCGTTTGACAAAGACACTTATGTAGTGGAAGTGATGGAAAACTCCCCGATTGGCAGTCTAGTTATCAAACTGAACGCCACTGATTTAGATGAGGGGTCTAATTCAGATATTGGCTACTCCTATAGTTTGTATACATCAGAGAGGACACAGCAGGTGTTTAACTTGAATGCAGATAATGGAGAGATCAGAGTGAAGGAAATGATCAATTATGAAGACTTTAAGCTGTATGAAATGGAGGTGATTGCAAGTGATAAGGGACCTAACTCTTTATCTGGACAGTGTAAACTGACAATCCAGGTGACTGATATGAATGATAACCACCCAGAAATATCCATCAAATCATTTCAGAGTCCCATCAAAGAGAATGAGCCGATAGACACAGTGATAGCTGTGGTTAGTGTGAGTGATAAAGACTCTGGTGATAATGGAGTGGTTGATCTTCATATTCCAGATAATATGCCTTTCAAACTGAGAGAGTCCTCTGATAACTATTATGAGTTAGTGGTGTCAGAGCCCTTAGACCGTGAGAAGGTTCCAGAATATGACATCACGTTCACTGTGACAGACAGAGGTTCTCCTCCTTTATCTGACAATGAAACTATGACCTTAGAGCTGCTGGATATCAACGACAATGTCCCACAGTTCCCTCAGTCATTTTATACCATCCGTGTGATGGAGAATAACGCACCTGGAGCCCTGCTCAGCTCCCTCACTGCCTTTGACCCTGACCTCCATGAAAACCAGTATCTAGTTTATTTCATCCTGGAGAAGGAGATAGCCAACACCTCCATGTCCATGCTGTTCTCCATCAATCCAGAGAACGGAAATCTTTACGCACTCAAAACTTTTGACTATGAGATTGAGAAGGACTTTCTTTTCCACATCGAGGCCAGAGACTCTGGCTCTCCTCCTCTCAGCAGTAACGTCACAGTCCACATCATCATTGTGGACCAGAATGATAACGCTCCGGTCATTGTGTCTCCATGGAGAGCACACGGCTCAGTGGTGGAGGAAAAGATCCCCAGGTCCACAGATAAAGGCTCCCTGGTTGCCAAGGTGATAGCCTTGGACACAGACTCTGTGCACAACTCTCGGATCACCTACCAGTTTCTGCAGGTGACTGACGCCACCTTGTTCAGTCTGGACCAGTACAACGGAGAGATCAGGACTATGAGGATGTTCAGCTACAGAGACCCACGCCACCAGAGACTGGTTGTTGTTGCCAAGGACAACGGGCAGCCCGCTCTGTCTGCTACAGTCACCATCAAGCTGTCCACAGTGGAGACTGCTGTCAAGGCCTACTCTGACATGACTGAGGTGCCTCTGGCGTACGACATCTTCAGTGACCTGAACCTGTACTTGGTCATCGGTCTTGGCTCGGTGTCATTTCTCCTGCTCATCACCATACTGGTCACCATCGTGCTCAAGTGTCAGAAAACCAAGCCCAGCAAAGCGGCTCCTCCCTGCAGGAACAGTGTGATCAGTGAGAGGAACTCCACCATCGCAGACTCCACTCTGGTGTCCAACGATGCCTACTGGTACAGTCTGTTTCTAGCAGAGACCAGGAAAGGAAAGCTGGTGGTCAGACAGCCTGTGCCAAAGGGATCCAGATACATTGTGTCCAGCATACCCAGAGGTACAGGACTGACAGACACTAGTGACTCAGCAGCCTCCACTCTGCAGGTATGAGAAAAGATAAATATTAACCACCCCCACCCCCCTAACCCCTTTTACAAAAACTCCTCTTAGTTACATCTGCATTTAATTTTTTGTGCCAGCAAAAGTCAAGATCCACTTTCAGGCCGTAACTTTATATTAACTTTTCTCTTTACTTACCGGTATGGGATAGTTACAACAACTATGACTAGTTACAAAACTTTTTAAAAATCAGTACATTTATGTGTGTGTGTGTGTGTGTGTGTGTGTGTGTGTGTGTGTGTGTGTGTGTGTGTGTGTGTGTGTGTGTGTGTGTGTGTGTGTGTGCGTGCGTGCAGTTGCAATAACAGGGTCTAAATTATGTGGGCTGATCTTAAAGGGGTTACTTGAAGAGCAGTTTAGATAGATGTTTCTTCTTCATCAGTGATCTTAAATAACCTAAATCTACTTTCTGTTTGCTCCAGATGTGTGTGAATGTGTGTGGATGAAGTATTCTGCTACAGCACACTTTCTCATTTATTTACATGCATAATGTTTGCTATAGCGACAGTTGCACAATTACAACATAATTGTATAAGCTGGAAAAAAGTTTAGTCTTGATGTTGAATTCTGTATACAGTACAGACTGTAAGGTGTACTGGCTTCATCACTTTGGCTCAGACCTGTAATGCCTGATTGGAGTTATATGATCTAGAGTAAGAATAATATACTGCAAATATAAACAAGACATTCTCTTACTTGAGGGTCAAAGACATTGTTACTTTTTGTGGTGCATTAAGCTTTCAATGCACCACAAGTGGTACATTTGTGAACATAGGGCATATGCTCACTGTTTTTGGTTATCAGCTATTGAATTAATGTGATCACTTACACTGATTGTTATGCAGCCTTATAAATGCATTAAAATGTTTATAAATGCATTTATAATGCTTTATAAATGCGTTGTTAGTGGTGGGCTTGTATACAATATTACCTAGGGTTTTTGTTATTTAAGTGTTGATTAGTCTTTATGCATCCTACATTTAACTAGAGCATCCAGTTTGACGTGGGAATTCGTCGATTGCATTAACTGATCATATACATATAGATTATAGTGTTTTTTTATTATCTTTTGTGTTGCTTTTGCGCATAGACGATCGCCTACGTGTCACAGAGACGACTTTTACGCATGCTGGGTCTGTGCGTAAAAGTTGCGAGACGCAGCGGGAAAAAAGTATAAACAGGAACAAACAATGTATTGACAATCTCTGCGTAGGAAAGTCAAAGAAACTATCAAAACATCGATTGAGAAATTCTGAAACTTCTCTGTTAAAATAATAAACTGCCATTTTTTGAGATTCCCTCCAGCCATTCGGCCAAAAGCTCGGACACCATCATTCATTACCAAAGACATTATAATCTTATTTGAAATAGCGAATTAAGTTCCTTTGCATTCTAAATATTTTATTTTAAAGTTTTTTTTTTATTTTAAAAGTTGTAACGTCGTTCACTGAACTACTCTTGTCGCTGCTCTCCAAGAAAATACACTAGCAGATGAGGTCATCACTTTCACGATTTTTCATTGGTAGATTGGAAAACACTCCTGGTGTAGCGTGATGTGCAGTATTTTATTTCCGCGCTGTGCTTGTTCACTGGATGACCATCAACTCCAGGTTTCAGCTCCTGAAAAGCTTAGGATAAAGTAGCTTCACGATGTCGTATCACACTCGATTTTGGACCGGGGGAGGGTATGTTTACAAACTTGTCCTTCTCTCTGCGATCTTCAACACGGTTTTCACTGTCACTCATTACTCTATCCCCGAGGAAATGGAGGAAGGCTCTGTCGTTGCCAATTTAGCGACAGATTTGGGACTAGACGTGAGAACGCTAAAGGGGAGAAAAATGCGCATCGATGTTGTAGGAAATAAGAAATATCTCGACATCAACAAGGAAACGGGGGAGCTGTTCATTCTGGAGAGGATTGACCGTGAGTTCCTGTGTCCGTTAAAGACATGCTTTCTGAGACTAGACGCCACGATTGAAAATCCTATTCGGATGTTTAATATAGAAGTGGAAATCACGGACATTAACGACAACGCTCCTCATTTTCGACGAGGGACAATGCATTTGGACATTTCTGAATCCAGCCCTATTGGGGAGAGATTCTCTTTGAATAACGCTGCAGACCCGGATGTTGGATCAAATTCTGTGAAAAACTACCACCTGAGCTCAAGCGAACATTTCTCTATTGAGATTCAGACAGGGAGAGACGGAACGAAGTTCGCTGATTTAGTTCTGAAAAAAGCTTTAGACAGAGAGCAGCAGGCTGTTCATAATCTCATACTGACTGCTGTGGACGGTGGAGTCCCCACGCGCACAGGTACAGCCAGCATTATTGTTCGCGTGCTTGATGTGAACGACAACGCCCCTTCGTTTGACAAAGACACTTATGTGGTGGAAGTGATGGAAAACTCCCCGATTGGCAGTCTAGTTATCAAACTGAACGCCACTGATTTAGATGAGGGGTCTAATTCAGATATTGGCTACTCCTATAGTTTGTATACATCAGAGAGAACACAGCAGGTGTTTAACTTGAATCCAGATAATGGAGAGATCAGAGTGAAGGAAATGATCAATTATGAAGACTTTAAGCTGTATGAAATGGAGGTGATTGCAAGTGATAAGGGACCTAACTCTTTATCTGGACAGTGTAAACTGACAATCCAGGTGACTGATATGAATGACAACCACCCAGAAATATCCATCAAATCATTTCAGAGTCCCATCAAAGAGAATGAGCCGATAGACACAGTGATAGCTGTAGTTAGTGTGAGTGATAAAGACTCTGGTGATAATGGAGTGGTTGATCTTCATATTCCAGATAATATGCCTTTCAAACTGAGAGAGTCCTCTGATAACTATTATGAGTTAGTGGTGTCAGAGCCCTTAGACCGTGAGAAGGTTCCAGAATATGACATCACCTTCACTGTGACAGACAGAGGTTCTCCTCCTTTATCTGACAATGAAACTATGACCTTAGAGCTGCTGGATGTCAACGACAATGTCCCACAGTTCCCTCAGTCATTTTATACCATCCGTGTGATGGAGAATAACGCACCTGGAGCCCTGCTCAGCTCCCTCACTGCCTTTGACCCTGACCTCCATGAAAACCAGTATCTAGTTTATTTCATCCTGGAGAAGGAGATAGCCAACACCTCCATGTCCATGCTGTTCTCCATCAATCCAGAGAACGGAAATCTTTACGCACTCAAAACTTTTGACTATGAGATTGAGAAGGACTTTCTTTTCCACATCGAGGCCAGAGACTCTGGCTCTCCTCCTCTCAGCAGTAACGTCACAGTCCACATCATCATTGTGGACCAGAATGATAACGCTCCGGTCATTGTGTCTCCGTGGCGAGCACACGGCTCAGTGGTGGAGGAGAAGATCCCCAGGTCCACAGACAAAGGCTCTCTGGTTGCCAAGGTGATAGCCTTGGACACAGACTCTGTGCACAACTCTCGGATCACCTACCAGTTTCTGCAGGTGACTGACGCCACCTTGTTCAGTCTGGACCAGTACAATGGAGAAATCCGGACCATGAGGATGTTCAGCTACAGAGACCCACGCCACCAGAGACTGGTTGTTGTTGCCAAGGACAACGGGCAGCCCGCTATGTCTGCTACAGTCACCATCAAGCTGTCCACAGTGGAGACTGCTGTCAAGGCCTACTCTGACATGACCGAGGTGCCTCTGGCGTACGACATCTTCAATGACCTGAACCTGTACTTGGTCATCGGTCTGGGCTCGGTGTCATTTCTCCTGCTCATCACCATACTGGTCACCATCGTGCTCAAGTGTCAGAAAACCAAGCCCAGCAAAGCGGCTCCTCCCTGCAGGAACAGTGTGATCAGTGAGAGGAACTCCACCATCGCAGACTCCACTCTGGTGTCCAACGATGCCTACTGGTACAGTCTGTTTCTAGCAGAGACCAGGAAAGGAAAGCTGGTGGTCAGACAGCCTGTGCCAAAGGGATCCAGATACATTGTGTCCAGTATACCCAGAGGTACAGGACTGACAGATACCAGTGACTCAGCAGCCTCCACTCTGCAGGTATAACGCCTCATTTCTTGTAGTTTTAAAACATCAACTTTATAAGGGGAAAATAACTTTATGGTTTTGAAACTCAAACTGCATCAGTAACTTTGCCATCAATAAAGTGAAAGATATCTAATAAGCTTTAGATTAACAAAGACTGATAAACAGAGATGATATATTTTTAGGTTCAAATGATACAAAACCTGGTTCTTTACAAGTTTGCTCACCATCTACTATCCTAACAACAAAGTTACAGTTCATGCTTTTGATCAATTGGTATGTAAACAGGCATTTAAAAATCATCATTGCCTATCACTTAAAAACAACTCAAAATAAACCAAATGTTTTAAAGAGAAACCACGGGTAAAACAGCAAATAAGTAAATAACTAAAAAAGAAGAAAGAAAGGAAAATAAAATTATGCCTTGTTTTACTAAAATTTGAACTGCTTTTGTTTTGTTTTTTTCTTTTTCTGAGTATTTTTCACAAAACATCACTTGTTGAAAAAACTTTTACTTCTGCATACATACTTTTACTTTAGTTTTTGGCATAAGTACTTGTGGATAATTGTGCAAACCAGTACATGGGTTTTTGTGCCAGAGAAAATCATCAAGATTTTTTTCTTGAGGGTTTATCTGGTCATGTTTTTGCTACACACAACCTACTGTGTGTCTAACAGTCTATATGCTTGTGTGTATTTTTAGACAAGGGTCTGTGATCTTGACCTGCAGTTTCCACATGCATGACCTCTGCCAAGTGGAAAGTTGCAGCTCCTCTGTCACAGTCAGCTTTCACAGCTCGAGTTTGAAATCTATACTGAGATGCAGAAACATGATGGGACCTTTTGTTCCATCATATTTGATCTGTTAATGTTAGCTGGTTGATTTATTTTGTCTTTTTAATCTAGCTTCCTGTGGAGGTAAGTATGTTGCTGGAGAACAAACACTCCGCTGAATATGGAACTGTGTTAAACCCCCTTTTTTTCCCACAGAGCAAGCTGCAATATCTGTCATAAATGTCCACACCTTCCATGTTTAGTTTGTATTTCTTAAGGATAACATCTTGTTTGTTTGTTTGTAGTTCCACTAATTTGTGCTCATATAGAAAATTCGGTAACACTTTACAATCAGAGTACATCTTATTTAGAGAATATCTGCTAATTTGATATTGAGGTAATGCATGGCTCAAGATAAACTTCTGATTGAAGTCATGCAAGGTGCATCATTAATTCCTTTAGCTTTTACGTGAACTAATGATCAAGTTATTATGACTTCAGGTAATGAGTATGTGTTTAATCCATCATTGTTTTTTTTCTTTTTAATGGTCAGCCTCTCAGATTAACTAAAAAAAAACATATTTCTGACAACAAACACAATGATAAATACAATTTCATTCAATTGTACAACATGGTTTTTATTTTTTATTATTGATAAAAGGAGTGGAGTTCAATCATTTTAATTTTGATCATTATTATTACTTTTATCCTGTTTTTATTCGTATTCCATTTATATCACTATAGTCCCTTGATATAGTTTTCCATATGTAAAGCACTTAAACTACAAGTCATACATAAAAGGTGCAAAACACAAAGTGTAAATCATTCCTGTTAAAGTTATTCAGTGATTCACCATGTGTGTTCATCATCAGAAATTTGACATCTTTTGCAATAATCTAAGTCTTAAAAAACTCTCATATGTAGCTACTTTGATTACATATGAATTAATGTATGAAGCAACTGTTAATCAACATACATTTACTGAAGTCATTATAACTTGATCATTAGATCATGAGCAACAGGAGTTGATAATGCATCCCATATAGAGTCAATTAGAAAATCATGGTGAGTTGTGCATTACTTCAATATCAAATAAGCATTAATTTAAAAAAGAAGGTGTACTTTTGTTGTACAGTGTTACCACAGTATACAAATGGTAATAATTTCTTGTTCTTGTAATGATCTGACCTTTGAACTGCTTTTTTTTCTCCCCACTCTAAAGTACCCTAAATGAGGGAAGTCCACTCTGCAGCTGGAGGTATGCAGGAGTCTCACTCCCCCGCCCCGGAGGCCCTTTTTCTGAATGATCTTACAGAATTGAGTGTCTGATTTCTTTTCTGTGTTTGTTTCAGTGGATTATTTTGTCTTGTTTTATTTCCTTTCTGGAGAAGGAGATTTTTTGAATTGCAAAGGGGGTCATTGAGTTGACATCACATGCAGTTTTCCAAATCTCCCATTTTAACCTCTTCATGCCGACATTTTGGTCACTATGACTCACAAAGCAGCCTCACCAAAGCCACGCTAAGGTGTCTACATTATATAACAACTATAGTAATTGATATTATGAATATGGATTAAGCATTACGTCCCCTTACACAGATGACTGAATGCATCTTTAATTTTTGTAACTGAATTCAGGGGACAAAGAGTTGAAATATTTAAAACACCTGAGTCAAATACCTGCTTCCCTCAGGCTGATTAACAATTCAAATTTTTAAATTAAAAATATATGATCAAAATGCTGCCCTGCCTACATAAACTTTAACCTTTAATAACTATTTTGCCGTCTACTGGCCTTGCTTTGTTTACAATCTACCTTTTGATTATGTGTTAATACACATGTTGGGAAAATAGTCTCATTTTAAACTGAATCACAATGTTCTCAAAATGTTAAAGTGCATGCAAAGGTTAATCTGTGTTCATCCCTTACTGACCCATCACTTATAGACTAGAAAGGACTTGCTCTTTTTGAATGTTTAGAAGTGGATTGTGCTCTTTCTGTCTCATTTGGTCGTAAAAAAACTGTAATTCAACTTAGTATTACTGACTTTACAGATTGTCACTTTTGAATTTCCTGTCTGCTCTAGTGTGAATTGTGACCTAGTTCTTCGAGCCGGAGAGGTGCAAAGTGAAACCACTCATCCAGTTACCTAGCAACCACTTTCCTCCAAATAATGTAGGAGCATGGTATTCATTGATAAACCCTTCACCTCACCACTACATGTTCAAGGATCTGCCCAACCCTTCCACCCTCTCTCTGTTTTCTGCCTGAAGCCCCTTTCTGAGTAACAGACGTCAGCTGCATGAGATGCCATGTCAGTTTGCAAAGTCACAAGCATGTCAGTGCTGACTCTTAACCGGATTTGTCTTTGTCTCCTGTCTCCTTTTCAGGCATCCACTACCAGCAGCGGCAGCTCTGCGTAAACCCATGACTCCACCTGAGTACTGGATTCACATCGAGAAGAGAGCTTTGCAGAGGAGAGGAGAAAAACCTACTCATAACCCCCCTCTTCCCCCAGTTTCTGTCCTGCTGAGTCTGACCCTTGTTTCTAACAGTGTGTCCTTGTCATGCTGTAACACCAGACTGGACTATGATGGTGAATCAGTGACACAACCCTCCCCCCTCTCCCCTCTTTCTTCGTCAAGCACATAAAAAGCCACTCAACGTGACTCCTGTCCATTCAGTATGCATGACAAGACTGCATGGCTTCAACCACACTCCATAGTCCACCTTCATGTATGCAAACTTCAAGAGGGAATACTCAAAAAGAAGCAGACTGTACAAAAAAATGCACCAGTGGTTCTTCAGAGAAGCCTCAACAGGACCGATGGGATGGACAGGGGAATGTTGAAATGCCTTTGAGAGTGTTTCCCCTCTCTAAAAGTGAAACATGTTGGGTATACATTTTTTAACCTCTGTGCTTTGTGTTACTATATAAGCTTTGATGTATACAAATTATCTAGGAAGTGAAACAGCACAATTAACTAAATGTCAAAAGAGCACCACGCTACAAGTTCAAAGTGTGAAACAAGAGGGACGCAGTATTTTATAGGTATGATAGCTGTTGGTAGTTTTCTGTTTTGTACTTGACTTTGTGCTTTTTATGTGAGCTCACCAAGATCACTGGTGTATCATACGGATAATCGTGAGGCCTTTTGGTGATACATATCTGCCTTTTAGTTGTTTCTGCATGGGTCAAAGTGCTTTGATAGCTTTAGAGTTTTTTAAGGTACAGAGCTCATTTTACGCAGCAAAATGGAGGCCTATATGTTACTGGGACTACAATTAAGATGTATGACAGTATCAAACTTGATTCCTGAATCAAAAGATGTTAGGAGAGAGTCCGCACATCCATCATCTTATATGTTTCTCCTAGTTTTAAGGAAAAAGGAAAACAATGGCAGGTGGGAGGACATTTTATGGAATCAGGAAGTTAGTTGGGTCTTAATTCAAGTGAACACTTTGCTTGAAGGTTAAATTTGCTGTATTATTTATCCCAAAATTAGTCAAAACTGATCTAATCTGAACAATCTTTAAGAACCGAAGGATTTATATCTCCATATGACAACTGTACATACTTGAACACAAACTTTTATTACACTTTTTCTTTTTTAAAGCCAAATTCTGGATGTTCCTTATTTTTGTTATTGCTTGAGATTGTGTAAGAAGCCAAAATCTCATGAAGTCTTAATCTTTACTGTACATTTCACCAAATGCTGTTCTTGTGTGTATTTCTGACTGTTGTATGCATCTGCATATGCAACACATAATTAAGGATACAGATATGAGTGTCTGTGTATTTATAAATCATATGTCTGTACCTACAGTATAAACTTGCCTTTCTTTTTAATACTAATACAGCATATTTTAAAGGGAACGAAAACACTGAAACTCATGTGCCATTCAGTTTATGAGCCAACCTGTAAGTGAAACTGTAAAGTAGCTGAACATCATGTTGTGAAACTCTGAAGCACAGCTCACGTTGTGTTACTTGTATAAAGATGTCATTATTTACAGGCAAACATATACAGGACATTCAGTGCTTTTGCAATGTGTGGTGACTTGTGTACTGTGAGCTAACTGTATGCTATGGTCTGGTCTGTATGATCTATTAAATACAAAAGCAAAATAGAACAGCTAACTCAGTGCTTTAGTTTTATATTCTTTAAGTTTTGCATGACATGTTTTAAAACTCTGTGTGTCTTTTATAAAATGAGGACTTGTTTTCTGGTCAGGTTAAAAGCATATGAACCTTCAGTGATTCTACTGATAAAGAATATTTGTGTTGACATATATAGATATAATCAAGGGATCCGGTCAAACAACATATGTCATAAATACATTTGATGATCATTTTAGCTGGTAAATCATCTTAAATGAATTGCATTTTTTTACTGGTTATTGCAGTTATCATTATTATTATTATTATTATTATTAGTAGTGGTAGTAAATCAGTGTCTTCTAGTCTTAGCACAGGAAATCAATGTGATTTTTCTATCAGAGTTACTTCATGTTACAGTCATATGCTTTCAGTCCTACCTTACAGTACAGTTTATGGAACTGGTAATAAATGCACTGTGTGGATCTCATTAGGCCTCACACTGAAGGAGGCGTTGTCTTATGTGTGGTAAGACACGAGACATATTGCTAATATTTTGGCATTTTAATGTTCTGCTACAGATACTCAGTATGTGACACTCTCAGTGTTGCTGTTTTTGGGTAACAGCTTTTAAAAATCCCCTATGAATAATATTACAGCTGACATATACAAACCTGTGTCTATATTTAGAACAGAAAACATGCGCTGTTATCTTCAGCTCATGTTTTTTTATTTGATATTTAAGTTTAAGGTTTCTGTTTTTTAACAAAGAATGTCATGGTGATTTGATAGTAATAGGTTTAAAAGTGACTTATTCTTCCACAGAGAGCACATTTCCTCCTGAAGGATCTGACGTGTGGTTTCTATTTTTATTCTACATCTTCTCTCAAACACTATGAACATTAGTGGTTAAAAACAAAAATGGATACCTGCATCTCCCTGTGCATGTTCCTCACAAAAAATACTCTACAGCTTCAACGCTTCAAGAACAGACTGACTTCATCTCTATAAATGTAAGTATTGATCCAGACGAAACTGTCAACACCCCCCTCACCCGCAAATAATTATGGCCTGTGCAAAGCAGAGGAAGGGAAAAGGAGAAGGAAAGGGAAAGGGAGCACCTTCTGTCTCAACCCCTGGGTAATACCAGAGTCTAAGTAATTCAACAATGCTTTAGCATGATAGAAGTGAGGTTTTGTCAAATAAATCCATGTATACATCTAAACGTAGTTATTTACATGCTCATTGAAAAGTCCCAAAAGCTTTCTAAGTATAAAGGGAGCATTTTCAGGCCTATGTTGCCAAGTGTTTGATGTTGATTTGTTATGACTAATACAACAAAGAGTACTGACTGGACCTCCTCTTCAAGTTAAGAGTCATGAGATAACGTTTGTTAAGATTTGCATATAAAGAAAAACTAATACAAAATAAAAATCTGACATTTACAAAGGAATAGTTTGGGCTCTTTTAATTTTCTTTTGGCTGTGTGCAAAACTAAGTTGATCAACATTAAGTCACATAAACAGAAGCCATACCAACCCCTGCCTTTTCTCAGAACATCATACAACTTCGTAATGACAACCAATGACGCAAAACTTTCTTTCTATCTTGCTACAATCTTGTCCATACACTATTAATTATTTCTATATCCAGTTGTACATCCTCTCAGCAAATTAAGGACTGCAAACCGCTCTATTATCTGGAGGGCTCTGCCACGTTTTTAGCTGATAAGGGATAAGGAGTTGTCTTTCTGCTGGCCATAGCACAAATGAAAATACTAAGAGGAGAAAACTTTTTTCAGGATGTTTAAATCATAACATAAGCAGCATTTTCACAGACAGACATTTGACAAAGTCCACAGCAATACCTTTCTTGTATGTGAAGGGGCAGTACCTTGTTCACTGGTCAAAGTCAGCGCACCCATCGTCTGTGAGGACATCAAAATGATCTGTATCCTACAAATAAAAAAAAATAAAATAAAATTGAATGAATGAATGAATAAATAAATGAATAAATAAATAAGATAATAAGATTTCAATGACACTTGAAATACAGTCTCATGAATAGTACAAAAGGTCACTCATGAACAGCTGAGTAAGAGCAAAGGTTAAAGGATATACATTTAAAACTTTTTTTGCAGAATTTGCACATTTTACTGTATTATTTTTTCTGTTTTCCTCAGGGTGGGATAATGGGTATGTCTGTCTCTGCCTTTGTTATTGCTCACATCTCCCCAGGGAGATGAGATCATGTGTGAACATGAGGTTTTAGGGGGAGAGCTTTCTTTTTATTCAGTATGGCACTGTTTTAGCTAAGAATATGTAGATGTCTCCATTGGTTTTTATTTAACAAGGTGAGAATTCATTTTTTTTATTTAAAGGTGTGTTTCTTTTATGTTTAAGTGTTGGAGGAAAAGAGGAGATTAAAAAAATCCTTCCCACTACTGTATGTCTCTGGGAGAAGACCCTTGCTCTGACTGCTGCTCTGATTCACTTGCAGACTAACACACTGACACAGCAATGCACAAATGTGGAACAAAGCACAAGAACAACCACCAGCTGGCACTAGCAGGCTAACATGCACAGTATGTCACGTCAGTGTATTCCATGTGTGTTTGTATTTCTGGGGTTTTATCCTGCAAATATGTTCTTTACAAATTTGAAAAGAAATGTCATTTTATTAGTGGTCATTTTATGCATTATTAATTTCTGCCTTAACTAAAGGTAAGAGCTCTCCTTATCTCTTTAGTGCAAAACAGCTCTGTAAAATGTACCCTGAGAAGGGTGTCACTGAAGGAGAGTACATGTGTTCGTTATTTTAGAAATATAACAACATCAGGGCATGAGGATATGTCTTTGTCTGCAGCATTCACACTCCCTGCATCCCTCCCCCTCTGCGTCCTTCCTCCGAGCCCAGCTTGCTTTCAGCACCATAGACAGTGACCTGCCTACTAGAGCAGTGTTGCCATGGTGACGTGCTGTCTGTTCTGCTGGAGCACGCTGTGTCCTCTGAAGCTGCTTGTAATTTAATATTCTGACGCCCTCCTCTCTCCCTCCTCCACCCCACCTTCATTGCGCAACATCCACGGCACAAACGGGTCAGATGAATGGATGAATATCGTCTGTTAAAATATTTGTAAGGTGGCTCTTTCTATCAAAGGGTTGATAATAAAGGCGCTGGAGGTCCTTTAACAAGTAACCTGTGAGCGGTGGTGTAGCAGTGGGGAGCGATGGAGGCAGAAATGGGAGTGGTTGTTGCAGAATGCGGCAGTGCTTGTGCACGCGCACCAATATGACTGGCCTACTTCCAGAGGCAATACGTAAC